TTGTTTTACCGACGGAACTTCCGTTGACATATATTGTTGTGGTGCGTATGTTGCTGCACCGTTTCTCGCTCTGGTTGATTCGCTTCCTATTTTTGCAGCCTGCACAATACACGTTGGGTTCAGTCGCCTCCAACTTCTATACTGTCCCGTATTTGTCAAGGCTCTTGTGTGTCATTGATTACCGATTAGTTTCCCAGGCGCCACCCAACATCTGTACAAATAAGCACTTCACTCTTCAGTCGTCGTTGGAAACGCGACATTCTGCGTCCACTTTCGTCCTCCTATTAGGTAAAAGAAGCGTTGCAGTGTAAATAAGTTGAAGGTATAAAAGACACTGAATTGGAAGCGTTCTTAGTATCCTACTTATCACCTGAAACTCAGGGGTGTGAACGACTGCATTGATCACGGAATACCAGGCCAGCGGGCCAGCATCCTCCATCCTGGTGTGCTGACGTTGGATGGACCAGGAAACGAAGACCGACATGAGTTGCTACACCGATATTGGAACGCCAGGCCAACAAACTAGTATCGTCCATGGTTAAAAAGATGGATGGGCAGACATAATAACTAGCAGTAAGTGAGAAAAATGCATTCGCCGCACTGATTGGTCTTGGCACGATCGATGGATACGCGCTGTGAGGCAATGTAATAAGCTAATCACAGCAATCCCTGTCTGTTCGTTGTGTTGGCAATGGAGTACGAGCACACGCTGCAACCGCAGTCTCGTAACTTGCCTGTGGATCAGCGCGTGATTCTGCGACTCTTTGGTGGGTGCCAATCGAACGCGGCCGAAACGACTCGCAGCAACAACGCCACCAACTACACAACGAGTCCCTTAACGGGCGGTACGTGCATCGACTGGTGGATAAATTTGACGCAACTGGGAGCGTGCCCAACGCCAACCGAACCACGCGGCCTCCTACCGCCACGGACGAGAGGTCAGCTTGCGCTGTTGTAGAGGTGTTCGCCCAAAGCAGTGATCACAGCATTCGGAGAATCGCCCAAAATTGTGCCACCACACCATCTTTCGTGCATCAGATACAGAAGGAATAAAGATTCCGAAGGTATCGTGCGCTGCAGATAGAAGTTTTGTAGTCATGCATTACGCAGAAGCGTCGGGAATTTTCTCGCTGGTATGTGGATACCATGGACGTGCATTCAATCAGGTTTACGGATATGGCTCTTTTTCTGTCTGAATAGCGCAGATAAGCGACATGTTGTGCAACCAATAAGACAAGACAGCACTTACCGTATGCAACGGGGCGCACAGCTCATGTCGTACGCTGGATTGAAAGGGCAAAAAGTATTGGACTAATTTTCTTTCCTAAATATATGGCGGGTAACTTGAGTGGTTAACAGAACTACTGCTTTACATTTGTTAACATCTTCCTATAAAGAACAGTTGCAGACATGCGTCATTCCACAGCTGCAAGCCGAAGTATTATTTAGCACTGTTTGGTGGCTGTAGTATGGCGCGCCTGCACATTCTGCACAAACGGTACATGAGTACCTTAACGAAAGTTTCGGTAATCGTTGGGTCGGGGAGGACCAATGGAGTGGTCTGCACGGTCACCGGATTTGCACTCCCCGGATTTATTCCTATGGGGCTACTTGAAACGTAGAGTTTATAAAACCAGGCCCCCTTATCTGAATGAACTGAAACGGAGCATCGTGAACCAATGTCACGGGATCTAGGTGGACACTGCAGTAAATGCTAGCAAATAGCAGCCGGCGAATGCCGCTTTGCAAGCAAAACGACGGTGGTCATTTTGAATATCTACTACATGGATTTTATGTGCGTTAAACATACTTCATGTAAATATACGTACAATGCATAACGGTTGATTTCACGGCTAAATTGGAGCGATGGTAATGGTACCAATACTTAATCGGGGTAGCATAAATGCTAAGAGAATTGCCTAAAGTAAACAAGGCGGTTACGTGAGAAACATATACGGTACGTGTTAGGTGTACTTATAGATGGGTCTCAGTCCGAGTTACTCGCTTGTTCCGAAATGCGGTTGTCTCATACCATCAAGGATGCTGGAGTACATCGATCTAACTAGGTATTGTTACGCGCGATCGCTCAATTGCTCGACAGGGTGGAGTTGTCGCTCTTGATGTTGACTGTAAACATGACGTCGGTAGACAAACCGTTGAAGCTCCGTAGGATATGTTACGCACTTCTTGCAGGCCATGGTCAGTACATCCGTTGTAGAACTGACGTTAACCTAGTGCTTTCCAAGTTACTCCATTTTGTAGGTGACATGACTTACCACCCTCCTCTATGTGCTAGTGATTACGCTTGTCTGCGCTGCTGTTGTACTCGGTCTAGACTTCACTATTGTGCAACCTCATTTGGAATACACCATCCCGATGTGACATCCCGGCGGAAACAAGGTATCTCAGCTCACTAAACTCAGAAACGAAGGGAAAGCAAGTATGGTAAGAGCCTACATCATCTCTCTACTAGCTCATATTAAAATGCCTTTTGATGTATTCGATGCGTATCGGTGCTTTCGAGGGGTACTCTAGGTCGGGGCATCCATTAGGTCATGATGTCTTGCCAAATCCTGAAGAATCCAAGCGACCCTAGTTGCTCGCTCCTGCTAATCATTCCTAACACCCACTAAAAAAGCCATCAGCTTAAGCTTGACAGCGCAATATACCCGGCAATAGTGTTACCTTAACATCGTCTCTCGTTGTATGTGCTGGCTGTGGAATGTCATCCACTGGTACGCAATCTCGGTCCCAACTGTAATATAGAAAACTTCTGGCTCTGTGTTTACGACCTTGTGTGAATACACTAAGGATCATTTCGTCGTATAACTCCACTTTGTTTGCTCACGCTCGTAAAATATTACCACAACGTCTCAAGCATATTTGGCCACCACAAGTCGCTTGGCAGTTTGGACAGGTTGAGCGATCCTCATCGTCTAACCCAGTACCGCGACCACTACCACCGCTATTCTGCACTTCTTACGGCAACGGATGTTTATTTGCACGTGACCAACGCGCCCGTCTCGTTCACGGAGACATA